GTTAGTTACCCTTTGTATATGAATATAGAGGGATATAAGTCATGTAATTCCATGGAATGGCTCTTGGTTTGTATCCTTGTAGCTATCTGCAGGAGCTTGTTGGCTCCCATCGCGGTGTCTTACTACGTTAGCACATATGTGGCCTGGGCACCGTTCCTGCTGCTGGCTGATAGCGCTCGGCATCTGGAAAACGGCCTTGTTGGGGAAGTTGTAACTGCACTGCCCCTGGCTGACACCTTGCTGGCACTGCAGCTGCAGTTCCTGCTGGTTTTCCCCCAGCACGAGGAGCACAGCGGGCTGTGCCAGGGCTTGATCTGCCTGGTGGCCTGGCTCCTGGAAATCTGGCTGGCTTTAGCTTTTGTGTGAATAGCTGCGTTTGTGTCTTCAGTGCTTGTGCATCTCCCGTGCAGATGCAATGTTCCCAAAATGGGAGGAACTGAACAGCGTTACAGAAACAGCATTGTCTGTGTTTAGGAATCAGATGGCAGATGCAGGGGTTTTTAAACTTGGAGGCCTTTTATGACAATGGTATGAAGTGGTGTGTAGTCCTCTAAATATGTAGTCAAAATTTGTTGTCCCTGTACCTCCCTTTATGAAAAATGCTCCAGCTGGTCCTGGTTCACGTGTTAAAGGGAGAATGGTCCAGCACATCTCTGGATATGCTGGTGTGGACCCAATTGTTTCTGGGGCAACAACACAGATCCGTTTTGCTGCTGGAAAACTTTAAATCTATGGCATCCTTTGCATATAAAAGTGCTTCACAATAATGATCTGGATTTCCTTAGTCAAGTAACAGCAATTTAAAAATCCCCCAGGCATCCCCTGGCGATAGCTGGGGGGGGCTCCGGGAGAGCAAGTGAGGGGCTGGCCCAGTTAGCTGCTCCCCTGCGCTTACTGGTTTCCACTGGGAGGTGTGGAGCGGTTCAGGATCCAGCATTAACTGAAAGGCAGTTAAGAGGTAGGGTTAAATATCCTACGTTTCCCTCAGCTATGAGATTTGAGATACAGCCCTGCAGCGCTGGTCTCAGTTTCTGGTCACCCAGCCTGTGCCAGAACCGCTGGAAACAGCGCTGCTTAGCTCGGGGTAAGTTAATTCAATTCGTTACAGTCAGCAGATTTCTTAAAAGTACCAAAAGGTTAAATCAGAAAGTGTTGGGAGATCATCAAGGCTGATTCTGGGGGAAAGAGAGGAGCAGAGAGGGGGAGTTGATGAGAACTGTGCATCGGAGCCAAGGCCTCTCGAGGGACTCAGGGGAGTCTGCTTTCTGCGTGCCCTCGTGCCCAGCTGCTGGGGTGGAAACTGCCATTTAGCTTCAAGGAGCATCAAATCGTGCTTGTTAGGCTAGACCATGCGCTCCGAGAGGCACTCCTCCACCTAAAAAGCTCTTCCAACTCCTCTGATTAGTGAGCGTAATTAGAAAGTCTGTGTTCACTGCAAGAAAACTGCTTTGGTCTAAGCTCTGGTATGGATTAAACTGAAAACCAAAACGTCATCGTGTTTTGACTAATTGCTGTTGAAACTTTTCAGCAAAATGTCAAAACTTGAAGTGAGGCCACATCAGAAAATTGAAGTGTAGTAAATACATGGCTGGTATTAAAAAAAATAATAAATGAATCAGATGCACAGATCTAAGGGAAAAGAAATTACTGAGCACGATTGCTTGGGTTCCATAAAATGAAATTTAAGTTCAGTATATTAAAAAACATGTGGTCTGTATTTGAAAACATTTTATGTAAAGGCTTAAGAGCAAAAATGGGAAAGATGTGGCTGCAGATAAGCTCTCGTGTTCAGAAGAAAGCACAGGTCATGGTTCAGGCATGAGAAAGAAAAACTAAACTCGGGATCAAGTGTAGTAAGTGAATATTTTGTTACGGACTTTAGTAGGTTTCAGAGAACTCACAGAAGATATTTTCCCAAATGTGTTAAAATAAGGGCTCCTATCAGCCTCAGTGGACTTCAGTTCAGGACTACACCGAGCAAGATTTATGGAGCAGCAGTTACAGTTCTCAGATTCTGCTAATTCAGGGGCCATCGGAAATTCCAAAGCTAACTGCCAGCAAAAGGTACCTCAGCAATATTTTCTGGTTTTATTAGTGAGGCTGAAGCCAAATCAACACCAGTTAGTATTGCCTGCTACACAATAAAGTAGTGCTGACCCAGATAATAGTTTGCCTAAGGAAATGATAATCTTTCCAATTTTCATTTCAGGAAAAAGCAGAGGCCCTGCATTTTTTTTTTGTTTGTTTGAATTTCATGTCAGTAACTGTGCTGGCCTGGAGAAAGGATTTCATTGTGTGATTTCTGAAAGAGAGCTGATATATTGAGCAGGATATTAACCTTCAGGTCTTTACAACGTAGAGTTTCAACGGAGTGTTTCTGAAGTTTTGCTTGAGCCAAGGAAGGCAAGATCTGTAGCCCTGACTTCTGGGAAGGTTGCATCTTACACCAGTACTCACACCTGAGCAAAGGGGCCCTGAATTTCTGTAGTCATAGTTCATGACTCGGTGGAAATTTGTGGGAGAGGTATGGTACAATTGTACTTCAGCTGCATCTTTCACTGAGCTGGATGCAAACTGAAGTCATTATCAGCAAATAAGTATGCATGTATGTAATTTTATTCCTCTGTGCGAGTCAGCTGCAGTAGTTGAGTTAACTTAGAGTAAATGGTGGCAGGATGGGATTTTAACCAGTTAACTGTAATATTTTAATGCATCCAAATTGACCATGACACTTAATAACATTAAGCACGGAGCACTACGTCAAAAATAGGCTCCTATTCTACTACAGTGTAGAAGTCCTTTTATATAAAGAACTGGAAGGGAGAAGAAATCCAGTGTAAAAAACTCCCAAAGATGAGCTATCAGATACATGATATAGACATTGGGTAAAAACAACCAAACAAAAAGCATGCACAGCTTCAAGAACTGAACTTTTTGAGCCTGACCGTCATTTCTGCAGGAACACAGATCATCCCGCAGAGAGCCCAGCTAACGTGGCTCTGTGGCGACGGGGAGGAAAAGTTAACCCTGGGCAGTTTCCTTGTAATTTGTTAAAGACTAATGAAACACAGATCTAAGTGTAACCCAACTAACAGTTTAATGTGGAACAATTGGAGGGAATTATCGAGTGATTGACTGTCTGCTGGGTACCGGGAAGGGCTTTCAGATGGTCTTTCCTGCTGAATGCCAGTCCCTCGGGATCCTTTCTGTTAGCCCTTTGTTCGCAGCCCTCTTCTCCAATATCTGCCATGACGGCTGGTGTTTTTTATTCCTTTGCTTTACACCTGCTTTGTGTTAACAACCAGCAAAAGCTGAAGCATGACGAAGAGAATTTGTCATATTATTGTGATTCTGACACACCCGAGGTAGGATGCTGATCAATCATGCACGGGTGGCTGGCTCGTCAGACAATATAGCTCGTGCACACATATCTGCCTGCTGAAAGCAAGTTAAAATCATCATCGATTTGCAGGTGGATTAAGGAATGTAATAGCATTCCCTTGCTGAAAGCAATAAAGTGCCCCATTAGCAAATGTGGTTGGATTGTTTCAGCCTCTATTCTTGTTATTTATTTATTTTTAAATAACTTGAGGAAGGGAAGAGGAAGAAAGAGCATGCCACGTACCACCCAGGGCTGAGACCTGTAAACTAGTTTGCACGGTTCACTGTATTTCCAAAGGAAGAGATTACCAGACAAATAGAAACAAATCTTGGCTGCTTCATTGTTTTGTCCTTGGAAAAAGCATGTCTTCCTTAAAGACTTAACTCCGTATTACTTTTCAAATAGGAATTCAGCCTGCTGGTGCTGATAGAGGTGAGCGTAGTATCTAGAGATTAAGTAACTTTAATTACAGTGATACCGCATACAGGATTAGTTCTTGCTGTTTCTCACAGATGAAATATTGTCTATAGGTGACTGAAAAGCATATCAGGAAATGTAAAGGAAGGACTTGGGTCATCTTCTGTTTTTTAAAAAGTCAGCATAATTTCCATCTGATGTCAATTGCGTTGTACACTTTATACATTTTTGTTCTAAACTAGCAGTACTGAAAAGTTTGATTCTAGCAGATTCTTATCTTACTCTTTTCATGCACATTATAGTCTCCAATTTAATGAAGGAAACCTGGAAGGACTTAAAGAAAGCTGTTTAAGAGAGGAAATTAGCAGTATGCATGAGATGCCTCCTGCTCTGTAGATCAGACAGAGAATGCCAAGATTCTAGTCCAATTCTTAGAAACAGCTGATCAGCCTGCCTTTGTGGGTGATTCCTCCTTAGGCAGTTGAAAATGGGAGTGCTGGGTGGGAGCAACGAGGAGGGGAAGCTGCTACAGCATGAGACAGAACAGGTATCTGGAGATTTTGCTTCAGGCGCAGTGTTCAGTTCCCTGAGCTGTGCTGCTGAATTTAAGTCACAGCTGAGTATTCTGTAGCACTCTAAATTACAACAGTGGTACTCACCACGTGTGTTTACTGCTCCAAGGAAACACTCGTACTTCACAACTCTGTAGGTAAGTCTTTGCAAGTGATGGACTTCTTAAGGCATTCTGTTGTTGTAAATGTTCAAGTACCACATATATGTGCTGGCACAATGGAAAAGTTGAGGTGTTCAAAATCCTAAATGCTTTAACTTATAAAGAATATAATATTTAAGCAATTCCTCCTACGTTGGAAATAAACTTGAAATGTAAAAGATTTTTTTCACAGAATAAAAAATTCTAGAAACATTGGCCTGAGCAGTCCTGAGGCCTTCAAAGTGTCCCTATCCAGGTGTTGTGCATGCAGCATACCCTGGGGGCCAACCTCCCGGGGGGCACCATGGTATCCCTGAGATCCTCCCCAAAGGGAGATGTGATGGGTGATCTCCCTTGAGCCTGTCTGCTGTGGGGGATGTGCCCTGGGAGTCTGCAGGGCATGATACAGCTCAGGTGCAGGCACAGGTGGCTGAGAAGCTGTAGGGGATGAGTGGGAGCAGAGCTGGCCCCTACTTGAGGCCTCCTGGGGCTGGGCAGTCTTGCAGCTGGGTTGCTCCATGGTTTCTGCCTCCTGTTAGAGGGCTGTAGAAGTTTGATCTTTGTTTTTGTCTCCAGTACGGCAGGATCTTTTTTGGTTCTGGATGCTGGTCTTGTTCGTGTCCTTATGGCTGGGTGAGTGCAAGGCTTTTGTGTGCCCTGTCTGTGTGGGCAGGCTGTCTTGGGGTGGTGTGTAGATGGCACTGTGAGAATTAGTAATGTCTTTGTTTTAGGAGGAAAAAGAAAAAAAATCCTCAAAAGGCTTTAAGTATTAATTCTTCTACAAGCTTGGCTTTGATTCCACTTGTGCAGAATATATTCTCACAGACTGGGGAGTAAGAGGGAGGCTCACTAATTAATGTTTAAAAACCTTCCTCCACAAATACTCTGAAATTGCTCTTTCAGCACAGAGTAACTGAATAATTCTAGGGCTTGATATCCGAAGGTCTTTCGGCTCTAGGAGTAATTCCAATAGGAGCTCTTTCCTTTCTTCTAGAGGCATTTAAAGGGGAAAATTTCTGAGTTTAGAGTGTGAATCTCTTATTGGATCAGGCTTGAAATCTGGCTGTTCTTGGTCTTCAGCCAGTGCAATTTTTGCAGGGGAAATACTCCTTCTATTCAATGGACACTAATGCTTTTCTCTGGGGAAAATGGGAAAAATTTTCTTTGCTGAATTGGTGTGCCTAAGTCTGAGCTCCAAACATCATCAGAAAACATTTAACATCTAATCTCTATAAAAACATAATTATCAGCTTTCTGCTAGCGTTTCATGCTACTCAGGTGGATGATGATATAAATGGAAAGAACTGATCCAGAAGGAGGGGGGTAATTTAAGATATTTTGAGATTTAACACTGCTAAATGGCTCCTCCCTACTGCGGTGCTCACAGCTCTTGAAAAATGGAATTTGAGTACAAGAAAAAAATGCTTGGGTGTGTGAGGGAGCCAGTTCTGTGCAAGGGGTTGGGCGCTGGGAAGTGCCAGGGTGGACGTTGCCCACTGGCACAGCCAAGTGCAGAGCTCTGCTTCTGCCACGCAGCTGCTGTGGGGTGCCTCACACAGGAGGGAGGGCACAACGGTAGAGGTAAGCCAGGGGCTTGGTGCAGCCACCAACAGAGATGTGTGTGCTGCCTGCAGGAGAGCGGATAGGAAGGAAGCAGTCAAGTGTTTACAGCTCTTTCTGCTTTCAGCCAAAGCAAAGAGATTGTTACCGAGTCACTCCTGACACAAGTGGAGATGCTAGATAACTGGGGATCAAAGAGAGGAGCTGTAACTTATCTTCTGGAAAATTAAATTGTATGGCTACAGACTGGTCAATAGCAATGTAGTGAATAGTTTTGTTTCACACCTACCAGCTTTGTCACCCTGTCCCACTGCTGTCTCAGCTCCATATTCCCTCTCGTCTCCTCCACCATAAACATGGGAGATGTAAACCAGAAGAAAATAAGGTACCAAGAGACCTTTTCAAATTGAAATGCCACAAGATTTTTGCTTGTTAGCTATGCTCTGCTTGCAGCTAACAAGAAGACAGTTGTGCCTATTTTCAGCCTAATCAGCTAGATGAGGATTGTCAGGGTGTTTAGAGAGCTCAGGTGTGCCACACGCACAGCTGAGAAAGGGATGAGAGCTGGAGGGCCCCTCAATGAGAGGGGCTGGCTGTGGGTGACAACTTGTGGGTCTTAGGGTTCTGGAGAAGGATTATATTTGGGAGGAGGCTTCTGGCATGTGTTTATAGCTTGCTGTGATGTGCTGTTGTGGGTGCTCTTTAAGAGAAGAGCAATGAAGACTGTGCTATTCTGGCTCAAATTCTGCTGATCTTAAGAGCTTCTCGGCTTTTATTCTGTTATTTCCTCCCCGTGGCTCTGTGACAGCAAACTTTGTCATACATCCCTTCAATGTGGGAGCCGTCATCTTGTCTGGAGTGGTGGGGAGCAATGTGCGTTGTGTTACCACAGCAGGATTTTGCTGCTTGACTGCAGTATCTCACAGCGTGATCTGTAATGTAGAGGTATGAAGAGCTTGGTAAGATGGAGAAGAATTGAGTCCTACTATGTTGCTCACAACACTGAAATGTTTACTGTACTTCTAACTGCTGGAGATGTAGGTGGATCTCCCCTTCCCTGCTGAGCTAGGCTGGCACTCTGGTAGCTACCATGGCTTCTCTACCAGAGTCCTCTCTCTGAAACAAGCTCTTCTCAAGGTCTGCATCTTTCCTAGCACTTCTCCCAACTCTTCCCTTGCTTTTCTCCCTTTTGAGTACAAGAATCATCCTCTTGCTGGAGGAGTTAACTGCGGCATTGTGCAAATGCCAGGCAGTTTGGTTGCTTGTGTCCTCATTTAAGGAGGAGACATGGGCTTGTAAGCATTCATTGCTGAGGTATGATTATGCCCTAGACCACAGTAGCTACAGACATCTTCCTACAATATGCTTTGGCAGAGCTGAGTTGATTAATGGAGCCAGAAGCATGAGGAGGAGGAAAACTCTGGGAAACTCCTATGCCACACTAAAATACCTAATCTGAATTAAAATTTCTAATATGTGTTGTCTGCTTTCCAAGCTCAGCAAGACTCTGTGCCAGGGAAGAGCAGCAAGGGGCCCTGAGCAGAGAAATGAGAAGCTTACCATTTCTAGCTGTTGAATGAGGTAATAGGGCCGCAGGACAGAGTATCAGCATCTCGAAAGCCCTTCAATGCAGTCTAACGCTGTCAGCCTAAGAAGTGCTGTGTTGATGTAACGAGTGCTTGAACTCAGGACTTTTTAATGTACTTAAGAGAAACAAGACCACCCTGATTAGCTGCAGTTTGCTTTTCAAAAGCAGTTATGATTACTGAAATATTGTCACATGCTATGAATGTCTCAGTTCTGTGTCCAAGGTATTGCAGGCTGGCTACAAAGCTATTAATTTAAGTGGTTTGGCCTCAAATGTTCTTTCCCATTTTGAGGCAGCTTGGCAGCCGAACCAAGCATAAACGTATCTGTGTGTATTTTCCTACTTCAATCCACATCCAGGTACTTTCAATGTAAAGACTGTGAGGTCCTATATCTGATAGGCTATGGGGCTGGTAGAGGGGATACTGCAAGGAGTCTGAGACACGTTGACATGGGGGTGTTGGGCCTGGGACTGCTCTTCTTGTCTGCCCCATCTCCCATCCCTCTTGGCTCTGCTGGCTGATGCATCCTGATGGTCCTGAGGTGATGGCTGATGGTCTGAGGACCTGACTTGAAACAAAGTTGTTTTTCTAATTTTTTTCCTAGTTGGATCACTTTGGAGATCCTATCTGTGACAAAAATTTGCCAACACTTGAAATGGCACAGGATGAAAGGCAGAAACAAACTGTCGGGCATTAAGAAAAAGGGACTCTTTTCATCAACAGCATCAAGTTAAATGTATGTTAAATCAACTCCTCTGCCAGGCCGGTGGTGTATGGCATCTTAAATTAACCCATGTACTTCTCACTAGCCTGTGTTTTGTTCCAAGTCACTCAATAACTGTTTGGGCCTAATCTGCTTTGGAGCCGCGTGGTGGGGAGGGATCCGTGCAGGATCTCCAGGCCCTTTGAAGTGCACTATGGACCGAAGGAGTGGTGCCACTGGGCCAAGGATGATTTTTCACCCTAAAGTTGTCAGTCTGTGTGACTTCTTGTGGGGGGAGTCCTCCAAGAGCTGTGCAATACATTTATTTTTTTTATTTTTTGAAACCTAAGGAGCAGTGGCTCGTTTGTGGTGAGGTGCGCTGGGGCCTGTTTTCTGGGCTGTGGCAGGCCGCAGGGATGGAGATGTGCGCTGAGGTAAAATGCAAAAATGCTGTGAAATTTCAGTCAGCTTCTCCCCTATTTGGTGTCGATTGTTCCTTTTTGGTGACTTCTTGCTGCCTTGCTTGCTCTGTGTTGGCACATGCAGCTGTGATTATCTCTGGTAGATCTGAAGTAGTCGGATACACATCAGCACTCTGGTGTGTACGCACCTCAGTCTGTACTAGCTATGGGGGCACTTTCTACTCTTGTTTTTGCTGTTTTTAATGTCCTCTGTGAGATTTCTAACATTTAATCTGTGGCAGGTAGCTAGCTACAGTGGGTCTGGCTCAAGCCAAAGTGCATGGGACTATGTGTAAAACTAATGGCAAGTTGGATATCTTAGTGTGAAGTCCTTGGTTCTGTCAGCGTGCTAACATCAGAGACCTCACTGCATGTTGGACTAAATTTTCTGAAATCGCTGGTGTGTGAAGAAAGACATGATACAAATTCTGATTTCTTGAAGGTGGATAAAAAACTTTAAAAGCTGTTTCAAGCTGACCACGCACCATTTCAGCCACCTGAAATACTGATTTTCAATTTCTTTCACCTGGAGGTGGGGGAGCATGGGTGACTACGTCAGCACTGTTTGAGTACCTGGCACTAGAGATAAAAATATTTTTGTTGTAAGAAAAGATTAGTCATTCTGCAAAAGCTTTGTAGTGAAATACTATCTAGGTAGAAATACCAGCTGAACTTTAATTCCAAAGACGGGCACTGCTTCATTATTTGAAGATGTTTGCTACTGTTATGATCAATATGAGTCGTGCTTTCATGAGCCTTCATATTGTGCAGCTCAGAGCTCAGTGTTGTGGATTTCATTGTCAATCTCCTCTAATTCATTTTCTGCTCTCCAGCATTAATCTTTTCTTGTCAATGTTTTCTAAATCAAATCCAGCACAGCCTGTGGAAAATAAAGCAATTGTTTAAATTGATGGCTTTGAACAAAATAAATCATAAATCAGTACTTAATCTTTGAAACCCCTTTTCATCTAGAACATTTTTTTTTCCTCTGGAATGTGATTATAGAGCATAGATTAGAAATAGGCAAGAAAACCATGCCACCTGCAGGTGCTGGAGAGAGGGTGCATTTCTCAAGTGTCCAGCACAGGCAAAGCTGCTGAACTGCCCCTCACATTGGTTTGGAGGTGATCAAGATACATATGCTCAGTTCTTCTCCTTTCTTCAGCAAGTGAAAGGCATGAAATATGCTAGAGATCACTCTTCCAGAACTTCTGTGTTAATCTTGACTAGATGTAAGTGAATAGGCTCAGGTGAGGCAGGCTCAGTGGAGTATGATTTTCCTTTTTGTTGCCTTCACAAAAAGCACATGCAGCCCTAGGTCTGAGGTCCCCCATGGGCCAGAAGTCAGATACTTTGGTGTGTTGGTTTATGTATTACCTGATGCTCTTCTCTCAAGTCTGTCTCCCAGTATGCCTGGGAGGTAAAAAGACGGAGCTGCACTTCCACCAAGGTTGAACTGGTACTAAGGTTAGGAAATCTGCTCAGGTTTCTGACTGCCCGTTGTCACATTTTTCAGCTGTCTGTGACTACGCTCACTCTGAACTCCAAACTTGTCACGTTGCAAAAATAATGTAGTAGCGTTGCCAGTAGCAAAGTTGATTTTCAAGTTTGGAGCTGCCTACAAATAAACCCTGAAAACAATGAGAAAACATGGATGGAAATGAATTAAGGAGAACAAAACATAGCAATGGAAGACAGCATGTGTTGCTAATTACCTGCCATTCCGATTTCTGAAGTAATTTTTCATCCATGAGCTATGTGGTCAAATGTAGCAGCAAACCAGGAGTGTACATTCTAGCTTGTGGGCATGTTAAATACTGGGAATTGACATTGTGTCATTGCTGCTACAGGTCTCCCGTTTAGAATCGTTGTGCTGGAGCTTGGGGAGTGCTGCTGAGGCTGGATAGTTCATCATAAATCGTAATTGCATAAAGATGATCTGCACTAGCTCTGCAGGCTTGATTTCTACTTGTAACTGGCAGAAGGAAGACTAATCAGAACAATTATCTGGTATTAATTATGGCAAAGACTTTTTGGCTTCTCCTCATCTTCAAAGCCTCAGTTCTTGGCATGACCAGAGACCTGTGTGCAGGGGAAGATGACATGGACTTTCAGCAGCTATAGTCAGAGGCTGCTTCGTGCACCTTGCATGGTAGAACTTCCTTCAGCAGTGCTGGCTCTGGAAGTCTCAGCAGCCCCAAGTAAGGTGTTAGTTGGTCAGCAGCAGCTGGGCTTTCAGGAGAAGAAAGCACAGGGCCCAGAGCTGGGCATGTGCCGCCTTGCTAGGTGGTCAGAGTCCAGCACAGTCCTGTCTGCTTATGCCTGTAAGGAAATCTAATCTTTTTGTTTAAATACTCAAAAGCTAAAAAGTCTTAGCAGGTACTCAAAATTCAACATGTGAAACGCAGTGGTTGTGCACTACCTGCTTCAGTGGAAGAGAAGCAGTCTGCAGCGAAGGCTTCTTTTATTGGATAACTTATGCTGTGAGGGTGGGAAGGGAGAACGTGACTTTAATATGGTGCAGACACTTGTGGTATACCAAGGGTTTGAGCCCTAGTTTTGGAGAAAGGGTGTCTTTAAGGAGTAGTTACTATTGCACATGAGACTGGAAATTAAAGAAAACCTTGTTCTGGCAGCGTGCTTTCATGATGTATGGGAATCCTTATAACATGTTACGTAGGAGAAACTCTAGTGTAACTATGCCCTGATGATGCATCTCCTCTGTCACGCTGTCCTGCGGTTACTGAATGGTGTGCAGGGAGGCAGTGAAGTGTTCCACTAATCCCAGGAAAATCCTGGATCAGAGGGATGTCTGCTGGAGCTGTGTTATGAATAGGATGTACAGTTTATCTTCTGGACTTGTGTGGACTTATTCTGTCCTTACTCTGATAGCCCTGCTTTTTCCTTCCTCTTTCTGAAGTCTAGCTTTGTGGCAGCTATGGTGTGGAATGGCAAGGGGAAAAAAACAAAATCAATAATCCCTACATTTAAAGGAACCAATCTGCAATCTATAAGGGAAAAGGATTCACCTGTCTTGTTGCAAAGCACACTGGAGGGTATCAGTTGTTTGACATAAAACTGAAGCAAGCCTGCAGCCAACAATGGGCAGAAGTAATAGCTCATGCCACAGATAGAAGTTACAAGCTTGAGTTCCCTCAGGATTTTGCGCCCTAAGATTCAGCCTGTCGTGGGTATAAGGACTGAGCCTCCCAGTATGTGGGGCATTGAGGCAGGCTGCTTTCATTTCCCGATGCCTGTTTTCATGCATCCTGTCAGCACGGAGAACATTCACAATCTCTACTTGTCCCCCAGGCAAAGGCTTCCAGGTTTGGGGAAGAGGATGGACTGATGCACGCCATGATCGTATCTAAACCTTATTTTCTTAGGAATCTAGGCAAGGGGAATGGGAGTAGTTAAATATAGATACATATCTCCCTTAATTGCTCCTGTTTGATTAAGTATCCCGGTGTCTGTGGGACCGTGGAGGGAATTTGTCCTCTGAGAGAAAGTGAATAATGGCAGTAACAGGCTTTTAAAGCAGGCTGATATGCAATATTTATCGTATATGCTGGAATCCTCAAAAATTTATTTTGGCTGGAAGCTATACTCGGCCTGTCCCCTGGAGGGCACCAACAGCCAACGTTACAGATCCTTATTTGCCTCTTAGCTATCACCCACTGACGTGCAGCGCTATGAAGATGGCAAATATATCCCCGTGTATAGATTAAATTGAACCTGCTTTGCCTTGCATAATTTGGAAATTCAAAAGACCAATTTCTTAGTGTAATTGAAAACCACTACATTTCAGGCTTATTCATTGAATCAGTATTTCCAGTTAGAATTCAAATTAGTCTTTCTACCTTTAAACAAGATAACGAGGGTGTAGTTATATTTACTCAGCCTGTTAACAATCAGGTTCAGTGTGGCTGCATATGATTAACTACACATATACAATTGCAAAAGGTTAGTACGAGCATGACTCATGTCATAGGGGAAATCCATCTCCTAAGGCTGAAAATCTGAACTGACAGTTCTGCGCTCAGCCTAATGCCTGGGCCCCTCGGGAAGGGAAAAGTAAAAAGGAAGAGGAGAAAAGGCAAAATGACCAGCCTGACATAAGAGCCCTGTCAATTTGTATGTACTTCCCTTTGGATTTTTTTTTTCTATTTAGCCTGGGGTCCTCTTGCTTTAAAGTTGCATTAATGCAGCTTTCCTGAATTACTTCCAACACCTGTCAGAAAGTGATGTGGCATCCAAATGCGTTTGTAGAGCACATCTGAGAGTCTGGATTCTGTGTGGGCCAGTCAGCTGGAAGCATAAGTTAGAGGCTTGCACATGGAAATGTTTATCTGGAGTGCAGCCTGCTCTTCATCACAGGCATCTGATGTGGTGGGTAAATTGGGTGCTGAACTCCCGAATTCTCTGGAATAGTGATGGGTTTTAAGAGAGAGGCTGACTAGTATCAGCCACGTGTAGGCATCTGAGGCTGTGGGCAGACTCACTTGGTCTTTGGAGTGACTTGCAATCCGAGTGAGCTGATGCTCGTTCATTGCCAGTGGGGCCAAGTCGTGTTCCCTTGCGTTTCTAATAGCTGAAAACCATGCACCCATGCACCTAGATGGCTGGTGCGCAGCGGCTGCTTAGCTGTGCCTGCCTGATCTGTGCATGAGCACGAGGCACCCTTCAAAATAAGTGGTGTTAATAACTAGTTGTTTCTGCGTCGTGAGCAACAGTTGTGCTCAGGTGCTCTGAAGTGGGGCTGTAGGTGTGTGTTTGGGTTGCTCTGTCACAACTTCTTAGCTGATTCTGGTCTGTGTCTTGTGCAAACAGACAAGGCACAGTTTTCTAATAGGCTTCTGCTTTCTGCTCTATTGAGCAACCTGTGGCTCATGCTCCATTAACTGAAACGTTATGCTCTTGCAAAAAAATAAGTGACTATTGTTTTACACGTGTTTAAATTTAAAAAACAATGTAATGTCCTAAAGAAGGGTGAAGTACTTCTCCATTGGCTACTATGCTAACTGTCCTTTCTGTCATTCATTTGCAGGACCACGCTGGGTTTTCTCTGAAAAAAACTTCTCTCTGCATCCCCGACTGTTGTCCTGGTATTGTCAGCAAGCACAAGCCCGAATGGCATGCAGATTGTGTTAATTTGCACTGAAGACAGTCTTTGGCTCTACAAATAAGAAAGCATCTTTAAACACATCCGTTCTCTACTGAGCTGAGTACTCCTGGCTTCCAGCTCTGTGGTGCACACATGCACTCGGCCAGCAAGATCAGTGAGGGACTTACAAGGTAAGTGTGAGCAAGTTTATGATGAAGTCGTTAAATTCACGGACACTGTTCTTTTTTCAACATCTCATATTGGACCATGGATTTGATATTTCAAGTAGTAACATCATTCTGCTGTTGAACTAGAATAGTGATGTTGGGTGGTATTTGCTAGTTCTTCTGGTGTCACTGTGAGCCGTGAATCTCTCAAAAGGAATCAGTGGTTTGGATGGGAGAAGAGGAAAGGATAGAACTTGCTTGGGTAATCATACAAGCAGTCCTTGTGCTGCTTTTAACTTGTGCAGCTTTTAACTAAGCTGAGTGTTACCCATCCCCAGTCCAGTCACTGAATTACTCTGTTGTGCCCAACATAAGCTGCAGACAGAAGAGATTTTGTCCTAATAGACTTTTCTTGAAAGGCTGGCCATTGAGTTTGCTGCGTGGAGTCTTGCCCTTGGGTTACTAAGTGGTTTTGTTCAGGATGGCATCCTGCCTGTGCTTTTCAGTGACAGACTGGATTAATTCCAGGGAAGCTTCTTTGTTCTGCTGTTAATTAATAATGCATCTCTTTAAAATAAATAAAAAATCAATGCATATTTAAATGATAGCTAACGTAGCCTCAAAAGAATAATTTCAGTCCATGAGGTGTATGGTACAGTGCTGTGTTGAAAATCCTAACTAGAGCAAAAGTTAACCATAATGCAAATTCACACATACTCCGAAGTACTTGGATGGTTATTGTTTCATGACGTTTTTCTTCTTGGAAAGAGAGGACGAAAAACACAAAGTGCAGTATCTTAGCAAGGTAAGTGAACTAGTGAAGGTAATAACCTCTTTCATTCCCTTTCTGAAAGGGATTTGTAACTAAGACGCAACCTGTAGCAGTGTATTGAAGTGGTAAAGCTGCTACCCAGCGTTAACAGCTGTTTACAGAGGAGGTAGTCAACAAACTGCTCAGGAAAGCAGCTTACGTGACCATTCCTTTCTGTTGAGCAATGCAGGGTAAAATAAGCTGTAAAACTAGGATCTGGGAGAAGATTTTATCTACCTCTGTCACTGTACAACGCTAGTCAATACTTCTCACTGTCCAGTTTCTTCTAATGATGCAAGAACTGAATTTTTAACGTGAACTTTTGCCATTGCTGCTTCAGCTGATTCTTGTAAAAGCTACCGGCATCTTGTTTTGCAACACTTACCTTTATTGCAAATCTCAAATAGTTGTGAAATGCCAGATCCTTTAAAATTCATTTGTGGCAGTTTTCCTCACCAACATAGACAGTTGACATGGGGAGAGTAAATGACGTGTAGAGTCCTAAAGTGAGCATCCTATAATGAGACAGTTTTCTCATGGTTGTTGTTTATAGTTTCTTTTTGTCTGTTTGCTTGACAAATACTCTTTCTGCTCCTTCCTCTGTCAGGGAATTGGAAATCTTTTTCTGTGGGGCTTGTTTTCCTCTGGAAGCACACTTTCAAGCTCAGGGTTTTCCCTTGCCTCTAGAAGAATCCTTTGCCAAGGTGATGGAAAGGCTCTGCTGTGCTGCAGTCTCTCTACTGCTGCTCCTGGACTGCCCAACCTGGTGCTTTGCATGCATCTCCCTCTGGCACTCTGTACCCAGGCATGTCCAGAAAGCCCCAGGGCACAGCATGTCTTCCATGCTCTCACAGTTTTTCATATGATTCAGGGAGTAGTGACCAGGATGGGAAAAAAAGTCAGATGTGGTTTTGGTGCTTCAGGAGTTATCTGTTAACAGGGGAGCAGAACCATGTGCTGCTCATGGTGAAGTGGCCCTAAGGATTTAAAGCTTGGGCTCCAATGAGATCAAAGTATGCAACTTACACAGAATCACACAGAATCACACAGAATCTCTAGGTTGGAAGAGACCTCAAGATCATCGAGTCCAACCTCTGACCTAACACTAACAGTCCCCACTAAACCATATCCCTAAGTTCTACATCTAAACGTCTTTTGAAGACTTCCAGGGATGGTGACTCAACCACCTCCCTGGGCAGCCTGTTCCAATGTCTAACAACCCTTTCAGTAAAGAAATTCTTCCTAACATCTAACCTAAAACTCCCCTGGCGCAACTTTAGCCCATTCCCCCTCGTCCTGTCACCAGGCACATGGGAGAACAGGCCAACCCCCATCTCGCTAGAGCCTCCTTTAATATACTTATACAGAGTGATAAGGTCACCCCTGAGCCTCCTTTTCTCTAGGCTGAACAAGCCCAGCTCCTTCAGCCGCTCCTCATAGGACTTGCTCTCCAGGCCCCTCACCAGCTTCGTCGCCCTTCTCTGGACCCGCTCAAGCACCTCGATGTCCTTCTTGTAGCGAGGGGCCCAGAACTGAACACAGTACTCGAGGTGCGGCCTCACCAGAGCCGAGTACAGGGGGACGATCACCTCCCTAGCCCTGCTGGTCACAGTGTTTCTGATACAAGCCAGGATGCCGTTGGCCTTCTTGGCCACCTGAGCACACTGCTGGCTCATATTCAGCCGACTGTCCACCATCACTCCCAGGTCCTTCTCTGCCTGGCAGCTCTCCAGCCATTCCTCTCCCAGCCTGTAGCTCTTCTTGGGGTTATTGCGCCCCAGGTGCAGGACCCGGCACTTGGCCTTGTTAAACTTCATACAGTTGACCTCAGCCCATCGGTGCAGCCTATCCAGATCCTCCTGCAGCGCCTTCTTACAACACGAAAAAGGATTGCTTTGATTAAAGCTGAAGCTTTAATTTCATTTAAATGGTATCTAGATGATTTACCTGTGTGATCAAAACAGATCACATCGTAAATAGGTTCACAGAAAAACTGAGTGATGCTGAGTAAATGGAGCTCAGTTCACGGGCTTGGAGACAGAACCTAGTCCTAACCTCTAGCAGAGCGTGGGGCATGATGCAGACAGCTTTTCATCTTCTACTCTTCAGTCATGAGCTTTGAAAGCTTGCAGACAACTCAGCTCTGTTATATTTTTGCTTGGGGGTCGAGGTAGTGGAGAGGCAACTATATGCTACGCAAGATAGAGAGATCTTGAAGTGTAACATACATCTCTGGAGCAAGAGGATGCTTTGATTTGGCTGAACGTGAAGCGCCCTCATGGTCTATCATAATGTAAGTCAGTTTTAGCCATACTTAACAATCAAAACTCGAAATCCTCTTGACGGTGCCCCAAATAGAATATATTTAAGTCAAAATTGCCATTGATTTAAGTTACTATAAAAGCCCTCTATTCCTAGTGCCTGGAAGATTTATTAACAGGGTTCAAACTGCAGATGTGCAGAAGCGCAGGTGTTCAGAATATACTGGACAAGAATCATTAGTATAGATTCTTTAAAGTCATTGCCAGCATTTTTTAAAATACTCCTCTAGAACAAATGACTCCCATAAGTGGAGATAATCTTTATTGAAAAGATATTAAATCTTCTTACTGCCATGAACTAGATTTTAAAAATGCTGGACATTCTATTTATCAGTAAGCTGGTTCATGGGAGCCTTCTGGCTGCATTAAAGGTGAGAATTAACTCAACCAGATACTAAGCATGAATGATTTAGGCCTTCCCAGAAAATGACTTGGAGAATTTAAATGCGAGATCTCCTCCAAAATGTTGTCGAAACCCTTTGTTTGTTTCTCAGGGATGTCCTGGTTTATGTATCAAGCTATGTTTGACCTTTATTGCCTCTGCAGAAATAAAGGCTTTGAAGTGGATAGCTTGAAATATTTAAAGATCTCTACATTTCAAGGGTAATTTTAACAGAAACAACTTTGCCGAAATGCCCCTTAGCACGTTTCCAGTGGAATTGATCAGCCACCCTTCAGAACTGGCTTGCAAACCAAATAATGGAAATTACCACAAATTCTGTGTGTGTTCCCAGCTACTTAAAGATGGTGATAACTAGAGCAGGGAAACCAGCAGCTTTGTGGTACCTGAAAATGAGATTTATCTTGTATTGGTTACAAGTTCCTAAATTAATAATAATAATAATCTTGGAAACAGCATTTTTGGTTATCAACTTGGTTCCTATGTTTTTGAGCAACTGCGTAAGAGAATTATGGTAGAATACTCTGGAAGGGTGTTGGAGAGGTCATGTAACTCATCAGCCCCATGGCAGGATCAAAGGTATATTAATCGTATCATATATTTATTCAATGCGTTCTGAAAGATCTCCAATGTTAGAGACTCAGCTAATCTATTCTGCTTCCTCATCCTTGCCATTAGAAAGATTTTCTTAACATTTTCCCAAAATCTTTCGTTTTGTAATGAGTCCAAAAAACTAAGCAACTTGTCTTATCCGTCACAGGTATGAAAAAAAGATTATGTTCCCCTCATGAAGACTTTGAGGTCCTCCCCGTGAGCTGCCTTCTCTTTAGGGCACACGGCTCTAAATGTTTTTAATCTTCCTTCATGTCATGCTTTGTGAATCTCCGATTAGCCTCATTGCGCTCCTGTTACTCTCTCCAGTTGGTTTGTATCTCTCCTGATCCAGAGTATCTTTCTCAGACATCTAAAATAACATCCATCACCAATTTTTGGTTCAGCAGCGGTGTTAGAAATATGTTTGCTATCGAGCTTAAAGTAAACGAGTACTGTTAGCAGAACGTTTTTTCCTGTGCTGGGAGATTGGTATTCCATAGTAACAAAAGTCATGGATAAAATTAAACCTAATACTGAACATTAATTTGGGAATGAATGTACATTTAAAATGATATTGGGTTCTAAAGCAGGCTTTCAGAATATCCAATCTTACTATTTTTTTCCCTAGTGACTTGGATCCAAACAGCTTCAGTCTTTGACCTTTTTTACCTGACATTTCCCTACCTCCTCTACCTTTCCCAACTTCTTTTCCCTGCTTGTCTTGTGAATACCCGGCGTTCCAGTAATGAGTGCTATTTTTTTTGTGTGTATTTCAGTTCTTTATAACGAGTTCAGGATCTCTCAGCCAGTGTGCAAGTGCTTTCTTGCTCTGGAAGATGCTCAGCCCTCATTTGCACACGCTCTTTGACGTGACAATCTATTTTGTGACAAAATGACA